ATGTGGAACTCGACTTTTCAACCAGAGAACCCCAAGTGCATCAAGTGTAAACCGAAGAAGGAGAAACCCGGTCGACGAGGACCAGTTCTGTGCAGTTTTACAGGTAAGGCCCACAGCAGGTTGAGTGGGGCCATGTCTCAGGGAAACAAAAAGTTCAAGACCAGTGGTACCGAAGAGTACCCTGCTCCTTTTGCAGACTGGGCACTTCGTTTATTGATGGGCAAGACTGAGTCTTAACTGTGAGTTCATATTGGACTCGGGATTCAGCAGAAACTTGAAGGTCTGAGGCCATGGATGCTACACGGAAAAAGATTTCTGAGCTACTCTGACTGCTGCTCATTCAATCTTCCCGCCTGTAAGCTTCGACTTGTTAAAAGCCTTTGACAAAATCTCTATCCAAGGTCCATGAGGATGGTGGAAAGGGGCTGAGCCTCGACAGCAAATGTTTCTGTGGCTTAGCTGCGTGTATAACTCATGGCTCATGTCCTGATTCCAAGGAGTGAAACCGCATTCAAAAAGGATATCTGTGCCCCGCTCGGCTACCTGGCCCAATGGCAGAACTATGCTATCCGCACGTTCGGCCAAGTTGCGACGGGTTCACCGGCTTTCGGCCGCTTGATCGAGACACTACAAACCCGGCAGGGATTGGAAAAGGTGAAATCCTGCCAGCAGTCCGGCACTGCGCTACATGGAAAATCATCGAGCGACATAGGCATTCAGGACCTGCTTCGAGGGGTTTCGGTGTAACATCATGTTTCACTTGCAGAGTCTGGGCACATGCTCCGTCATTATAAACAATCTGCTCGACAGGAAGTGAACCAATTGTGGCTCGAGTTCAAGAAGCAGAAAGCTGGTGCAGCCTTGGTCAGCAAGAAGCCCGAAGCAACCATGAAGGAGGAAGCAAAGGATGCGCCCACCGGTCAGACACAGACTGAGACGCTCAGCGATACGGCCACTGCCAGTGGCACAAGCATCGAGGTGGTCGACCTCTCGATGACGGTGCTGCCGGAGGAGCCCGAAGATCCGGTTCAGAAGGCAGCCCGAGAGAAGTCACATGCCGAGCTGGACCATGTCTTTATCCAAACGGACAAGTCTCTCCTCCTGGAGGCAGTCATTCAAAAGATGACAAATTCGTCTCAGAAAGTGTGCTGCATTATCGATGCTCAGACGAGCAGGGCCAAAGTGAGCTTGGACTATGTGGAGATATTCAGAAACTTTGTGGTCGGCCATGGTCTGACGCGCTACAGCTTCGTGGTGATAGTCGGTCAGAGGCCAGGCTTCCAATTCTAAGAAAGTGAGTTGGCCGATGGGACCCAAGCTTCAGCCTTGTCCAGGATTGACCTCCTTCATGCGGTGCACACCAAAGTAGCAGCTCTTTTTCGAGGGGACCGAGTATCAATGATCCAGATGACATCGGGATCAGTGATGCAGACTGCCAAGTCGATGCCAGGCTTCATGGTAGTGGTCCACTCCCTTGCCGCATGACTCTGATCGGATTTCCGTTTTGGTTCACCTGGTGAATTTTGTTGTTTCCATGGAAAAGACACTCAGGCTGTGCAAGCTGATATGCCATATGTGGTGAATATCTTGCGGCACAGGGCCACCCCGGCAGAACAGATCCGCAAGCGCTGCCTTCGACGTGACTGCCCACTTCGTGATGACACGGACAGGTCGGAGATGCTTCCGGAAGGTGCCCTAGTGGTCCAAGAGCAAGCTTTTTTTCAGAGGGCGGTCTTCTTCTGACTGAGTGTGAAATTTTCAACCATTGGGTGTTCTGGCAGTAAGGAAAAACAGTCCCGGCTAATCACGAGCTCCCGGAGGACGATCGGGAAACCGACCCGTTCTCCGTTGAGCCAGCCGATGAAGGAGCCACAGCCACATCGGTTCTTGAAGACGACACACCGCCGGGACTTCCCGGCACTGGCAATGACAATGATTCTGGTCCGAGGGATTACCTCATAGATCTCTGGCCTTTTGCCCGGCCGGTCGGTAGCTTGGCAAAAACAGTGTGTCCCAGGCACAATCAAAATCTTAACATCTCCTTTGTGGTCTAAGTACTAAGGCTACTATGAACAAGTGTTGGATGAGATCCTGAAGGCCACGGGCTGTCAGACCATTCTTGTTATGTCAGTGTCCGCGCATCCTGCTCCGTGGATTGCTGTGCGCAAGCTGCTGCATGCGGATTCCAGATTGCATTTGTGGAAATACTAAGCCCGAACTGAATGACGAAGCCTCGGAAAGAGACAGTTCTTAGCTCAGGACTGCTTTGTACTGGCAGACCGCTTGCGCCGCCATTCGATGGCACACGCAAAGGAAATTGCCCTGCAATATTTTTACCGTGTGGCATACAAGGACCTTGACAAACGCACAGGACCACGGAAGAGGCTTCTGGGCCAAGCGGACGTACAAGTGATGATGAGCCCACACATCTCGGGGCAACAGATCATCGAGTTTTTGGAGGTGCCCGTTGATTCCTCAGTGCCTTTTTCTGGTGTGGCTTGGCTTGGCAGTTGAAGCAGACTCTGCCTGTGTCCTGAACTTCTGATACTTCTTGCTGGTACTTCGATTCATTCCATCCAATAAGGTAGATCAAGTGCCCACTGACTTGCCAAAGTTTCTCAACGGCCTGGTGGACCGCGAACTGGAAAAGAACAATCTGTACTTGTAGAGCAATGAGGGTCGCGGCAAAGGAGTGTATGTATTCAAGCCTGTGCCTGAAGGGGAAACAATTCTTGAAGCTTCGTGCCTCATCTTCAGTGGCTGGCCGGCCTTGCTTGCATTCCTTCGTGAACATCCGGGTCAGAGTGATGCAGCTGCTGGGTGTGCAACTAGTGATGCCAAATTCGAATCAGACAAACTCTCTCCCAGCTTGCTCCAGCCTTGCTCAGGTCATGCGCCTGCAAGGAGTTCTCCAGTGTCAGGTTCCGAAGACGATGTATTGTGTGCTCTTAGGAGCAGCACGGTTTGTGAACTCATACCATGGAGCACGATCTTCTCCGAATGCTGAGTGGTGTCTCGATGCAACGAAGGGAGCAAACCCTGGTGCCCTAGCTGCATCTTCCATTGTATTTTGTCGGCTGATTTCCGGCCAATGCACACACTGTGCCCTGCAGGATGCCTCAGCCTGAAGGCAAAGACGCGCAACAATTGCGGCATCGGTGCAAAGTGTGAGGTTCTGGTCAGTTATGGGTTGGACTATGATTTGACTGGTGCCAAGCCACTCTCATGCACCGTTGTTTTGTCGCTATGTTATAGATTTTGACAATTCGCTATCCACTGATGGTGCATTCCGTTAATTCATTGTAGCTGGGCTCAGGAAACCACGTCTGGAATCCTTCTTCAAGGCCAAAGTCGAGGGCGAGGGAGTGCAGGATGTGAAGATGGAGACCAGGTCGGAGGCGGAAGCCGCTGCCAAGGAGACAGAGGAAACTCCGCAGGAGGAGAATCCTGGAGCAACACCAACAGGCAACCAGCCAGAACCCGTGGAGGTTCCAGAAAGCAAGCCAGAGCCCCCCACTGCCCCGAGCAAGAAAAGGTCGGACGAGGACGAAGAGAACTTGCAGGAGACGATTGTCAAGCATATCGATGATCCACCATGCGACTTCATTTTGTTGGAAAACGACACAACCTCAGAGTCAGGCTTCGGTCTCCGAATTCGGAGTATGGCCGATGTGAATCGGAGGCTGCCGAAGCACTGGCTTGTGACCTCCTACCAACAGGGCAAGCTGATCCGTGTCAACAATGAACAGTTTCCGGAGGCATGTCTGAGGTATGAGGTGGCGATGACTGACCTGGTCATCGATATGTCTGTGACACCCAAGACTGTTTGCACGATGAAGGAGCTGGTGAAGACAAGCGGAGTGGGAAAAATTCATGGGTATAAGGAATTCCCAGCTGATACTGTTCCAAGCATCTGGGCTGCACTGCAAGTTCCGACTGTGTCCAGAATTGACGGCATTGGGTTGATTGGCTGTCATTTGTTTCTGAGGACAGTTGGTTGCAGATGGAAACCATTGCCTCACTGAATGTGATCCACTTCACTACAAGCTCGCTGAAGCCATGCAGGAGTTGACCAGCATCGGTCTGGCTTGGGGCTTTCAAAAAGCTCAGAACAAGTTGATCCCGTGTGGCTACGGAGTAGTGTCGGTGAAAGGGCGTATCATGCAGGCAAAAGAAGTCATTGATTTTTTCACTTGAGATTCGTCCCAACTGAGTACTGCAGCTGTGAAGCAGCAGTTGTGGAAGTGAGTTTTGCAGAGCACTCAGTGCAGGTCAGAGGAGAATCATGCAAGCACAAGAATGTTGTGGATCTTTGTATTTGAGTTTCCACCTTGCACTGACTGCTGCAGCTGTAAACACAGCAGTGATTCCAAGTTCGATTTTTGTGGTGTGCAAGTGCCAGTCTCAGGTCAGAGGAGGATGTTCGGACTAGGTTTTCCTAAGAGCAATCAGCCCTGGCACAATCATCATGATCCAATGTGGTGTTAACAGCATCACAATCTTACAATATCAGTGTGAGGGGTTGCTTTGCTCAGATGTCCGTCGGCTCCATCTCGGCCCCAGAGACACAGAGTGCCGATGCAGGGGAGAAAAAATTCCGCTGCTTGCCGGTGTCCCTCACAGCCTGTCTTGTCTCCTGTTGTCTGCATCTTCTGGTGTCTGCCCAGGTCAATCAGCGCTGTTGGACCGTTCATGCAGAGTCGAAAAAGAATGGTATGCAGGGGGAGTGCCATGACACATTTGTTGCTGTCAAAACGACCCTACATTGTGATAAAGGCCTGTGTCTTTTGGCCGTCCCTGTTTAAATAGTGTGATATGACATGACGTAGGCTAGGTTACATACCATTGTATTCTTTACGGTACACAACCTATTGACTTAGATTAGTACCGTTGTTATCTTTATTCTTCAATGTATTATTTTCTGATTAACTTGTATTGTTATTGTTATAGATATTAGAACTAGTGTACTATTACTACTCATGAGGGTGTCGCAGCCACAGGTCCGAGACCGGCGGCAGCAGGCGCCGGGAACGTTTGGGTTTCCAGGGCGTGAAGTCAACCCAGAGCCCTAAATCCTATAACCCCAAACTAACCCGCTCCCCCTAAATGCCCAGATTCGAGACCCAAGGTCCTCTGCGAGCTTGAACGCACTGAAATGCCTATAGAGCCATCCATGCTATTGCTGCTTGCGTGTGGCATTGGTAGTCGCTTCATAAGTGGGGGGAAGAGGTTTATTGTGAGAGCCTTCAGTGCGTCGGCCGGGTCGAAGTGCCTTCTCCTTTCTCCACTCCCTGAGCTTCTGAATCTTCACCTCGGCTCCCAAAACCGCCGATGCTCCAGGCCGAGGAAAGGGCGTCGTTGCCTCGGCATTCAGAAAGGCTTGCAGGCTGTTTCCAGTCAAAACTTAAGCGTTCGGACAGAGATTTTTTTTTCATCCCGAACACGACTAGTCCTGCGGCATGGGTGATTCCCGTACGCACCCCTCACTGTCTTTCTCTCCGTCTTGCTCTTTCTGGCCATTTGTCTCGCTCCTTCCCCTACTGTTGCTCCTCCTGCATGGATGTCGATGCGAGGCATTCAATTTCACGTGCAGCCGTGTAGATTTCGAAAGCTGCAGTTTTAGGGCATGGAGGGCTTTAGGGTCGAGAGTCTTGAGCTTCAGGGTCTCAGGGTGCTGTTTTGATGCTTGGACTGAAGCGTGTAAAGGCACGCTAGTGAAGCTCGAACATGCGGTTGTGTTGTCGATGTCCAGTGGAATGAAGGTTGATGTGTAAACCTGGTGGATCGAATGGATACCTATGCCTACCCTACCGGACCCCCTACCTAGCTGCCCACCTACCGATGTTTTTTCAGGTGTCTCCCGCGCTACCACAGTCCAGACAGCATGTTCAGTAATACCTGAGACGATCCAGAGCCATGCGGCTTAGAGCCTTCACATGCCTCCACCGGTGAAGCCTTGAACACTCAAGCCTGCAACGCGCCTTACCCTTCCCAACCCTCTGAATCCTTCCAAGAGACCCTGGCAAGCTCGGGAAATTTGCTAGTATTGGGGTCCTGAGAGATAGCCAACCTCTTGTAGTCCCGAAGCAAGTATACAGTATACATCCTGTAGTATCTCCTCTAGTGAAACTATTCAGCCCCCCTTATTAGACAAGAGCCATGGCTTCGTTAAGCATCTGGCTGCTGTTGGGCTCCGTCTGGCAGCCGTTGGCAGAAGACTGCGTCGTGACGGTTCCGACAGGGGCTGAGGGCCTACGACAAATGTGCACATGTTACATATGTACCAAAAAAAAGTTCATTTCAGTTGGCACAATACGGCGCGGATTTCGCTTGCACTTGCGACTTTTCTCGTTTCAGCAGAGGGTGCCTTGCTCCCCTGCTACTGACTACAATTTGAAGAGAGGTCTAGTGCCTTTAACTGTGTGGCTAACTGTGGTAGCAGAGCATTTTAACCTAGGAACCCGGAATTCTTAAACCTAAATCCTATAAGTACTGTTTGTTTTGTAACTGGAAGGGGTTCTACGGCCATGACAAGGATTGAAATGTAGGATTCAGCTTACAAAGAACAGAACGCTTTCAGATAGAGAGGTGGATCCAACCCAGCGTGGCGTCGCACAGGGACGGCTCGTGGGTGCAGGCGCCAGAATATCGAGCAGAGATTGCCGTAAAGGGCGTTTTTCAGGATTCGGGGGCTTGAGCCATTAAGGGGATCTATGATCGCGCTAATTGAAATCTTGCCGGCTTCGTACAGTCGACATCAAGATACGTGCAACATGATGCGTTGCCGAACTCACTAGATGCCCCGAGACCCGTTAGGGAGGTTCAGCCCAGAAGTATGTGCTGGTCTAGATATGTCCAAACGTCCGCACGTCTTACAGCTCATGAACAGGAGGACCCCCTCCGCCCCTGATAAAGGCATTGAGGATGTGAACAACGAGCTGCTTGCCTCCTCAAGATTTGGGCTTCTTCCGCCTGTCTAGCGCCTCAGGCTTTTCTTGCTTCGCCTTCAACTTGCCACGAGATGTGTGATTCTGAAATTAGGGATTCTCGAGCCAATTGCCGAGGGGACACGAGCGCTGAGGCTTTATGGTGGTCTCTACACAGAGATGGTGTATGGAGACTCCTTCGAGGAGCCGCGAAACAAGAACACATCGGTTCAAAATGTTGATCGAAACCATTTCCCGGAAAACAGACATGTTTCTTGTTGAGGTTTCGGGTCGTGGGTGTGTTCTTGGCAGTCGTAATTGCGGAACCGGGCTTTGGGCGCTCTCACGAGTTTGATGTACAGACCCCTACAATATGATATATACCCAGGTACACCATTTCTCACCTAAGCCCTAAAACCCGCAAACCCCTAAACCAACAAGTCACCTACGTAACCCTCGTAGAACCCAGAACCTTCAAGCCTCTAAAGTCCCTAAGCCCTAAAGCCTTTAGAGCAAAAAAAGAAACCTCTAACAAGGAGCCTCCATCTGACGGCGTGAGTGGTGCTGACTTCGTTCAGCCCATCCCGGCCTTTTCTGGGCGCCTCGGCGTTTTTTTGACCTGGCTGACACCCGTCTATGCCTGTACAGGTCTGCTTCAAGGATTCCTCCAAGGATGCTAAAGGGGCTAGTATAAGGCTTGCTTGTGGGAACTTTTTGCTTTGGAGTTTTATAGGAAGCATGGGGTGCCAAGGGGGTGGTACGGGAAGCTCAGGGTGTATACTTTTGCTGCTTTCGCGGCGAGGCACTGAACCAACCCAACATGATCCTCAGTGCCTCATGCCCTAGACTCCCTAACCCCCAACCCGCTAGAAGACCGTACCTCTAAACCCTCAACCCACCACCGAGCATTCCTTGAAGTTCAGGGTTCAGGGCCTATAGCCCCTATAAGCCCTAAACTCAAAGCCGAAGGCGAGGGCTCACAAGGCCCACCTGGAAACGCTGGGCCGCCTCCGAAAGCTCTCACTTCAACGTGTCCTTCGACCGATTTCATGGTCGGGGCCTTAGTTGCCTGAAGAGGTGTAAGTTTAGGGGTTGGGGTTTAGGGTTCGGGGTATAGTGTAGTAGGATTATAGTAAGGAGCTCCTTAGGATGAATGTTGGTAATCGTTCCTCAGGGTCTTAGGGTTTAGGACGTGAAGGTTTTCGGACTAGGGGCAGTGCGACGTGGGGGAGGGGTGAGGGCATCAAGCTGACCGTAATTGTCAGTTCAGCGCATGGATTGACAGTTTGAGGGGGCTTTTTGCAATGGGGATGTCGGGGTGTAATAGACTATACTATACTTAGAATGAGCAACCCGGCTAAGGAACAGAGTTGCTAATTCCACGTGGCTCCTAGGAAAGCTTGGGTGCATGTTGGGAAAATGAAACTCCAAGCTCGGGCCCTGCATCCCCGGCGTGAATCTTGCAGGGCTGCAGAATACAATGAGACCATAATGTACTATAATAATACTACAATATACTACAATGATACCATAGTGATACTATAGTTCTAATACGATAGTGGTTATGACTTATCACCATCCCACAAACGCCACCACCCTCGGGTTCCTGTGACGAGGTGCCACAAAGTGCCCCCCCCCCCCCGAATGGCGACCGTAGGCTGGACGATCCCACCCTAGTACATCTTGCAGGCAACCAGAGCCAGCTGATTCAGAATGGTGCCATCGCCAACTTTGGCCTGGGACAGCAAGGCATGCACTTTCTTGCGGACAAGGAGAGCCACGATCCACGAGCTGTAGCTTAAAGGTTTAAAGGTTCATGGGAGTTAGTAACTATGGTTATAAATGAACGTGCTATACTTGTAATTGGATGTAACCCCCGGTTAGGGTAGTTACAACTGTACTTACGAAGTCCCATGAACCCCCAAGCGGGACCGTAAACACGACATCTTTAGTAACCTAAGACAGGCAGGCTATTTAGGTCTGAGGAAGGCCCTCAGGTGCAGTTTGGTAGTGGTTTGATTGTCGGGCTCCGATGAGGATGGAGATGCTGGGCTCCGTGGTATTAGTGAGCAAAGGGATGAAAGTACAAGTACTATGCAACTATGATATAACTAGTTGCAGTATATCTGCACCGCATACCCGAAGGCCCTAGGCTGATCATGAAGAACCCAAAATGCTCAACCGGGTCTCCGTCCCAAGTGCTTTTGCCCTCGCAGTCGCATCCTAACCTTCAACAAGGATGCTCCGCAAGACCATGAGATCCATGTTCAGAGCCACACTCCCTAAGTTCAAGTAATAGTATTACCTACTAAGTACCTACTATCCTTGTACTTGGACCTTTGGAAACTGGCACAAGGACTACCATGGCTTCCTGTACGCAAAGGCGGATGGGTCTGCCACGCTCAACGTGTCTCTCGTCGCTGAAGACAACGGCCGGCGGCAGCTTCTGAACTCCACAACTTTCCAGCTGAAGAGCTCGAACGCTTGGAGACCCAGGCTGCAGATAAGGGGAAGAGCATAGTGCAGTACTGATGACCATGATTCGGTCTGGGGGTTTGTGGTGAGGTGTTCATGTTGACCCTTCGAACTAGTGACTAGATTCTAGTTGGACACAGTGATGCTGAAGGCCTGGCTTCGCGAAAGCTCAGCTTCTGTGAGATCCGAGGGTGCGGCTTGACTTTGTGCTCACGCCGGCCGCATCTACTTTCTGCGGCATGGCAATTCCGTGGCTTGACGGGGTTGCCATACTGGTGCTACTTCACGGGTCAAGAGCTGTCCGGACAGTGCACAATTGGAAGTATGTGGACAGAGTAGTTCGACCAGTTCTGAACCCGTAACTCTGGACACCAAATTCAGATTATTATAACAAAGCCAGTGACCGACATGATTCAAAGCTGAGTCAAGGGAAGTGTACTGCCCTGCATGCATGATACTTGCCCTAAGCCGTATATAGCCCTCATACCTGTTGAGTCATTTCGCTAGTCTGGCGCTCAGAGATCAGGATTTCAGGGGACTCGGGGATGGAACTTTCGGGCTTTCGGCACATGATGATTGACAAGTCTGGGATTAATGCAAAACCTTCTGGGTGCCTTGAGATGATCCAGGGCCTCCAGATGGCTGCGGTTCAACCTAATGCCATGGACTAAATCCAACAGCCTGAACTCCGGAAAAGAACCCGAGACGGTGGTCTGTGGATTCAGTCAGAGCTTGCGAAGTCAAGGAGACAATGGCATCAGCATCATATATACATGTATATGGGGATACCATAGATAGATAGACACATAGGTAGATAAGATAGATAAGATAGATAGAAAGAAAGAGAAAGATAGAGAAATATGGATAGGTAGATAGATGGATCAATAGAGAGATATTGAAATCACTAGGGTGTTACGTGTTTCGTTGTCGGCTCGTGAGACTCTCTGTGCGTT